GCAAAACTGAGTTTGAAATTACTCACCAATGATTAATATCATACTGAGATGAAGTGGCCAATTATTTATGTAATTGTGGCCCCGTCCCTCTTTTTTTTTTTTTTTTTTTTTTTTTTTTTTTTTTTTTTGTAGTTTTTGTTATTTTCATTCAGTGCTGAAATAATTTATTTTCCTCTTAATAGCTGAAATTAACTTGATTCTATCCAGCGTGTCTATCTCTTTAAATGACATTCTCACTGTCTTTCTCACTGGACAGCAGAAAGGAACGTTGAGCACCAATAAAACACTGAGCTGTGCAAAGAGATCTAGTCCCTCCCCCATTCAGCCACACAGTCACTAGCTCTCCCCCTGTAAGGAGATGAATGAAACGGAGCGATGCTACTAACAGAGTTAAATCTAATAAAAATATGCACATTTTTGTAAGCTTTGACCTTGGAACTTTGTTTTGGATTTATTATTTGCTGCCATGGAGGAATATATACAATCTTTTTGATTACTGAACCGTGTAATGCTTTTTGAGAATAAGGGATGGCAAAGACAATGGGATACCGCGACTGGAGATGGAAAGCGGTTTGGTGGAATCAATTATTTCTCCTGTGGATTACAGTTGAAGCACAGACTCGTTACAGCATCCCAGAAGAACTAAGAAGAGGTTCCGTGGTTGGAAATCTTGCTAAAGATTTGAGTTTGTCTTTGTCTGACATTTTGAGCCGTAAACTGCGGGTCGCATCTGAGGCTGGCGAGCAGTACTTCAGCGTGGATGCGGGAAAGGGAGAGCTGGTGGTGAATGACAGAATAGACAGAGATGCTATTTGTGGACAAAGCGCGAGCTGTGTTTTAACTCTTCAAATTGTGATTGATAATCCTTTACAGCTTTACAGAGTAGAGGTTGAAATACAAGACGTTAATGATAATTCCCCTAGTTTTCCGTCGACTGAAAAAATATTGCAAATAGCAGAGTCGGCAGCGGCAGGGACACATTTTCCTCTGGATGCGGCTCAGGATCTTGATGTTGGTGTTAACGCAGTAAGATCGTATTCCTTAAGCAAAGATGATTTTTTTACTTTGAAAATCAAAGATGTGTCTGGCGGAAAGAGAGTTCCTGAGTTAGTTTTATCTAAATCCGTTGACAGAGAGATGAAATCAAAACATAAGCTGATACTAACTGCAATAGATGGAGGGAACCCAGCCAGGTCTGGGACCTGCCAAATAACCATAAATATCCTTGATATTAACGACAATTTCCCAGCTTTTGAGAAGAACATATACAAAGTTTCTATAAACGAAAATGCAGCAAATGGGACATCAGTTCTTACACTGAAAGCTAAAGATGCAGATGAAGGTTTAAACGGAGAGATTGAGTTTTCATTTGCAGCGCACACGCCAGAAAATGTCCTGTCTGTGTTTCATATAGATTCACTAACTGGAGAAATACGTTTGATTGGGGACTTAGATTTTGAAACACATTCTAATTACGAGATCTATGTTACCGCTGCAGACAAAGGAAGCCCAAAAATGGAGGGGCATTGTACTGTTCATATCGAAGTTTTAGATGTTAACGATAATCCTCCGAATATATTTCTGACTTCTCAGCCAAACTCAGTACCCGAGAATGCGCCAAGTGGTACTGTAGTGGCTTTAATTAGCGCAAGAGACGTTGACTCTGGTGATAACGGTAAAGTTACATTGCAACTTCCCAAAGATATACCTTTTAAACTGAAATCATCATTTTCTGACAATTACGTTTTGATTACACACGGTGCTTTAGACAGAGAACAATTCACTGAGTATAATGTTGAGATAACTGCCACTGATAAAGGTTCACCGCCAATGTCGAGTAAAAAGACAGTTAATGTTAATATCACTGATGTTAATGACAATCCACCTGTATTTACACAATCCACATATGCTGTTTATTTAAAAGAAAATAGATTACCAGGATCTATACTTTACTCGTTATCAGCATCTGATTCTGATTCTGGTGAAAACGCAAAGATATCTTACTCAATACTGGATTCTAAAGTACAAGACGTTTCTGTCTCATCTTACGTTTACATAAACTCGGATAACGGGAGCATCTACAGCATGCATTCCTTTGATTATGAGAAGCTGAAGGTGTTTCAGATTCAGGTTCAGGCAAAGGACCATGGTTCCCCTCC